AAAGGAGTATCAAAATTTTTTGGTCAAAAGTTCTATATACAGCAAAACATCCTTTCAAAATGAAAGACAAATTAAGATATCCCCAGATAAACAAAAGTGGAGAGAATTTTCTATTAACAGAACCACCCTGTAAGAAGTACTAAAGGAAGTCCTTTGGGATAAAATAAAAGGACAGTATACAGTAACTTGAATCCATATAAAGAAATAAAAAGTATTAGTAGAGGTAATTAAATAGGTAAAAGTAAGACAAAAGAAATGTATTTTTTCTATAAATCTTTTATTATCCTATCTGATTTTTAAAAACAACTGCATAAATCAATAATTTATAATCATAATCAATAAACTTATGTTGAGATTTATTATAAAAAGATGCAATTTCTATGACAATAATAGTACAAAGAAGGAAGAAGAAACAAAGCTATACAGAGGCAAAGTGTAGATATTGTTGAAATTCGGTTGGGATTCATCTGAACTAGACTGTTATAACTTAAGACTTTAATTTTAAGTTCCAGAGCAAGCAATAAGAATAACTAAAAAAAATAGCCAAGCAACAAGAAATTTAAAATGGCACACCCCAATATTTCTGACACAAAAAAGTCAGTAATGAAGGATCAAGAAATACAAAAGTCATAGAGAAAGCAAATTTCAAAAGCGCATATGCAAATACTTACTTATGATTACATTAAGTGTAAATTAATTAAACACTACAATCAAAAGGCAGAGATTTGTCTCATAGATAAAAATATATGATTAAATTATATATTGTGTGTAAAAGACACACTTTATATTCAGAGACACAAATAGATTGTAAGTTTAAAAATGGAAAATTTCAGGTGCATATGTCTTACATATATTCTCTATTGTTGGGTGGAGTATACTACAGATGTCTATTAGATCTCATTGGTTTATTGTGCTTTATAAGTCTTATATTTCCCTTTTAATCTTTTGCCTAGCTCTACTCATTATTGACAGTGGAATATTATGGTTCAATTGTCTATTTTTCCTTCAGTTCTGTCAGATTTAAGTATTTCTGGCGCTGTGTTATGTTTTCCTGACGAATTGACCCTTTATCATTAAAAAAATCCCTCCTCTTTTCTGGTAACAATTTTGTTTTAAAGTCTATTTGATCAAATATTAGTATAGCCATTCCAGCTCTTTTAGCAAAGATTGGATGGTATATTTACATATGTAATCTTTATCAAAATTATAGTTGATTTTTTTCAGAAATTGACAAGTTAATCCTAAAATGTATACAGAAATGCAAGGTACCCAGGATAGCTAAAGTAATCCTTAAAAAGTTAAAGTACCCACACTTCGTAATTTCAAAATGTATTGCAAACTGTGGTAATCAAGAAAGATAGATAGATCAATAAAACAGAATTGAAAGTCCAGAAATAAACCCATACATCTATGGCCAATTGTTTTTTAACAAGGGGCACCAAGTCCATTCAGGGGGAAAGAATAGCTCTTCAGCAATACATACTAGGACAACTGAATTTCCATATGCAAATGAAAGAGGTTGAACTCCTACTTCACAACATACAGAAAAGTTAATTTAAAATGGATCAATGACTTAAATATAAGAGCTAAATATATTAAAATCTTAAAAGAAAACAAAGGAATAAATAATTAGTCACCTTGTATTAGCCAATTTTAAAAATACATACACTAGAAGCATATGCAACAAAAGAAAAGACAGATAAAGTGGACTTCCTCAAAGTCAAAAACTGTTGTTAAAATGAAAACAGCTCCTGAAGAATGTAGGAAGATATTTGAAGATTATATATCTTAAAAGGCACACTTGTATCCAGAATATATGAAGAACTCTGGCAATTCAACAGTTTAAAGAGGCAACCTAATTTTAAAATGAGCAAAGTATTTGAATAGATATTTCTCAATATAAGACATACAAATGGTTAACACTAACAAGCACATGACATGTTGCTCAACATAATTAGTCATTAGTAAACTGCAAATCAAAACGACAATGGGATACCACTTCACATCAACTAGGACAGCTATAAACAAAAAAGGCAGGTGTGGTGAAAATGTGGAAACACTGGAGCCCCCATACATTGTTTGTAGGAATGGCATTTCCTCAAAATGTTAAATGTAGAGTTAATACTAGTCACAGCAATTCTACTCCTAGGTATATAGCCAAGAGAATTAAAACTGTAAGTTCACACAAAAACACAAAATCTTATACACAAATATTACACAGATAGCATTATTCATAAGAGTCCAAAAGTGAAAACTGTCCAAATATTCCTCAATTAATGTATGGATTTTTAATGTGGTATATTCCTACAATGGAGTATCAATTGACAATAAAAATGAATGAAGTACTAATACTACATGCTTCAGCATATATGAACCCTGAAAATATTTTGCTATGTGAAAGAAGTCAGTCACAAGAGTTCCATACTGTATGATTTCATTCATATTAAATGTCCAAAATAGTCATATTTATAGAAACAAAGTTAATCAGTGTTTACCAGGGGCTAAGGAGAGGGATGGCAACTTACTGCTAATGCGTGTAGGTTTCTTTCTAGGGTGATGAAACACTCTGAAATTATTATAGATGATTACAATAGTTGTACAATTCTGTATGTATACTAAACCACTTAATTATATACTTCAAACAGATGAATTTTATAGTATGTGAATGATATCAATAAAGCTGGCATTTCTAAAAGGTAACTAGCATAATATGAAAAACAATACATCATCTTAATAGATATAGAAAAAAATAATAAAATTCAAAACCCATTTAGGATTTTTTAAAAAGTGTTAGCAAACTACAAATAGAAAGAGCTTCCTTAATCTGACCAAGAGTATCCTAAAATCCCTTCACCAAACATCATAATTAAAGGTGAAATATTGAAAACCTTCTCTCTGACATAGAAGAAACAGAAAGCACAATGACTGAAAAGAAGGAAATAAATTGTCATTATTTTAGATGGCATGATTGTGTACTTAGAAAATTCAAATGGATTTACAGACAAAATATAAAAATTGTTGAGTGATATATCAAATTTCTTGGATACATAAAAACAGAAAATAAAGGAAAATTTTTAAAAACATATAATTTACAATAACATCAAAAACACCAGAGACCACAAATAAATCTAAGGGAAGATGTGCAAGATCTCTATGGTTAAACCTGTAACACGTAATTGAGAGAAATTTTAAAATGTCTCACTGAAAATACTCACTTAAATATTACCATAGTATATCATTGTTATGGTTGGAAAACTCACTGTTGTAAATAAATTTTCCTGAATTTGATCTATAAATTTAATGCAGTCCCAATTTAAAAACAAAAACAGCATTTGTGGAAATTACATGGTGATTTTAAAATTTATATTAAATGCAAAGGGCCAAAAATAATCAATCTTTAAGAAGAACAAAGATAGAGGACATATAATATTCAATATAAAGATGCTATAAAACTATAGTAATCCAGATAGTGTGGTATTGTCTTAATTCTATTCTGTCAATTAGAGGGTTCAAAAATAGATATACATGTAATTACTCACTTGATTGATAGCAGCAGTGATATTACAGAGCAGAGGGAAAAATTGTCTGCTAAATAATTAAATGGCAGTGGGTCAATTGAATATACACATAGAAAAAAATTAATTCCTATCTTTTACCTTTCACCATGCACAAAAATTAATTCCAGAATTATAGTAGATGTAAAACTCAATGCCAAAACAATAAAGATTCTGGAAGAAACATAGGAGAAAAACTTCTATGTTTGGGGGTAAGCAAGCATTTCTTAAGACACAGGAAAAAAAGACACAAAAGAAAAGATCGATAATATGGACCCATTAAAATTAAGACCTTCTATTCCATCATAGAAGCTAATAAGAGTAGAAAGGCAAGCCATAGGGCATGAGATCTTTGCAATACATATATCCAACAGATGACTTGCATCCAGAATTCATACAAAACTATAAATTTAGGGCAAAAAGACAGACCATCAAAAAACAGGCAAAATATTTGGACAGGTATTTCACAATACTCCCATCAAAATTGTTAAAATGAAAAAGACTGACAATGCTAAGAATTGGGAAGGATTTGGAGCAACTACAACTTTCATAAGGAGCTAGTAAGAGCATAAATTCGTACAACTACTTTAGAAAACTTTTTTGTTGAATAAATATAACCATATTCAATTAAAGACATGCACAAGAGGCTGGGAATGGTGGCTCATGCCTGTAATCCCAACACTTTGGGAGGCTGAGGTGGGTGGATCACGAGGTAAGGAGTTCAAGACCAGCCTGGCCAACATGGCAAAACCGTGCCTCTACTAAAAATACAAAAAGTACCCAGACGTGATGCATGTGCCTATAATCCCAGCTACTTGGGAGGCTGAGGCAGGAGAATTGCTTGAACCCAAAAGGCAGAGGTTGCAGTGAGTTGAGATCATGCCACTGTACTCCAGCCTAGGTGGCAGAGCAAGTCTCTGTCTCCAGAAAAAAAAAAAAAAAAAAAAAAAAAAAAGACATGCACAGGAATTGTAATAGCATCACTGTAATAGCTGAAAATTGGATACCACTCAACAGTGGAATGGAAAAATATATTTTGTTTCAATCGTATATTAGAATGTTATATAACAATGAGAATGAATGAACCACAATATGAAGATGTAATTAATTTCTTGAACATAATGCTGAGCAAATGAAGACAGGTTTTAAAAAGTTACATATTGTATGATTTGCATTTATATGAAGTTCAGAAGTAAGCAAACCTAAGGTGATAGAAGTAAGGATAGAGGTTTCTTTTGGAAGAGTGAGATATGACAGGCAGGGGGCTTGAAGGTATTTCTGGGGATATTGTTAATATTCTATTCCTTGATCTGGGTTCTGGTTACATGGATCTTGTTACTTGGTTAAAATTTATCAAACTGTACACTTATTATTTATATCCATTCCTGTATAAATGGCATACTCAAATAAAATCTTCTAAAAATGAAACGAAACACAGACACCTACGTTGCTTTCCATTTTCCTGCTGAGGCGAGAAGCAAATTCTGCTGACGTTGCTGCTTTCAGTATGGTTTCTAAACTGGGAGCATTTGAGGAAATCCGGCCAGGAGTAATTCACCATCCCCAGGACTGATTCACAGCCTTCTTTGGCAGCCTCACAGAAGGATCTACAGGGCAGAAGTCCATGACTAAAAAAAAAAAAAAAAAAAAAATAGAAAGGTGAAAATTAATGTCTTTACAGAATAGGTTTTGAAATAATAGTGAAATTAAAGTTAGCCCCTGTGTTGTAATATTATCTTAATTTATACTTACTATAGTCAGCAACTTAAATTTTTACATTCAGTCCTATGACAGTGATTTTAGCCACTCTATTGTCTTGATTCTAGAAGAAATAGCTAGATCTACACCATCTATTTCTTGTAGGAGCATTCATCAATAATTTGTTTAATATTTACTGGGCTAAAATATACAGTTGTCAGCCTAAAAGAGCTCTATTTAACATCAAAAGGGAAAAATTAACATGGAAACGAAGGCCCTCAAATTGCAAAGGCAGAAGTAGGTCAAAAATATGTTATTCTTGTACTTTTATCTTCCCTTTGAGAAATTCAAGCATCTCTGAGTAGCAGCAGAGAGTAAGCTGTTCCATTATTAACTTCCCAAGTCTCCCTAGAAAAGGAACATTATACAGACGAGTGGCAACTTGGACCTTGTACAGTTATTTATCTTTTCAGATTTCTAGTTTGTCATATGCAAAATACAAAAAAAATGCTAACAATTATCTGTTAATAGTATGAGTAATGATGCCCCTGGAGCTTATCTTTATTCATTTGACATGCCATCAAACAGTCCTAGATCCACAGCTCTGTGGATGGAGATAGGATACTAACAAAGTCAAGGCCATGGACTTGTTTCCTTGCAGACCCAGGTAATTGTTTCTACTTTACAGCTAAAGGCTGCATCTCTCACCCTGGCTGGTCAATTGCTAAAGGTATTTCAAATAGTTTTAAGGAAACTGGGAAAGAAAATACCCGGTTCAGTTAAACCAAAGCATACACTTCGCAAATGTAGGGCCAATAAGATATCACAGAATCACACAATATTAGATATGTAACAAACCTTAAACAATACCTTATTCAAATCCTTCATATGAGATAGTTCCAGGGAGATTCTAGGACGGATTTGAGGTCAAACAGCTCCCACTGGCAGAAGCAGGAATAGAATCCTGGTGTTTCAAGTTTCAGGACACATTCTACCTACTCTCCCTGTCTCTTCTCTTGTAAGGACCTAATAGCTGGGCTTCTAAAACTCCTTGATCAAACAAGCACATGTACAATACCCCATTCATACTTCTACAGATTACAAAAATATAAGGGGATATGCCACCCATTGAGATCAAATGAAACTAATAGGGTCTGTAAAATAATGTTAAGGGAGAGATCTTTGTACTAAAAACAGAAAAAGGGAACTCAACATTCAGATAAAAATATTTTACCTTCCTCTCAGAAAGTCACCTTAAAACTGAGTATCTTTTAGAATACTGATCTTCATATAATTGTCTACATACATTAATATGTAACCAAATTCAATAGTGAAGATGTTGAAGAAGAGGTTTTGTATTTGAAAGATTTAGCTTCAGCATATAAAATATGAATTCGTTCAGGCAAGTTTATTGGTATAAAGAAGACACCTGAAATATATTAGATATTTCTAGGGCTAAGAAAGGATCACTTAACTAACACTGTTTTTCAATATTTCCTGCCTGTCCTGAATCTTATCTCAGAGAAGCTAGCAAATATATTTTCTTAAATAAAATTAAGATACACAGTTAAGGAATGTGGAGAACATAAAATTACTACATGCAGTTACTTATGTTCTCCAGGCACTGCTCTTAGTGCCACACATGCATCATCTCACTGATTTCTCAGAACAGGATGAGTAATAGGTGTTATTAGTCATCCCCAATATACAAATAAGGAAACTGAAGCACAGAAAAATAAGACATTTGTCCAAGTTCACTGAGGGAATGAGGGTCAGAGCCGGGATTAGAACTCAGGCAGATTGACCCAGGACCTATTCTATTTACTACTGTAGTACAAGTAAGTCCTAATTTCATGAATGCATGTCTTGCAAGCACAATGCAATTTTTTTTTTTTTTTTTTTTTTTTTTTTTTTTTTTTTTTTTAATGGAGCCTGGCTTTGTTGCCCTGGCTGGACTGTAGTGACGCCATAGGCTCACTGCAAGCTCTGCCTCCTGGTTTCAAGCAATTCTCCTGCCTCAGCTTCCTGAGTAGCTGGGATTACAGGAATGCGCCACCTCGCCAGGCTAATTTTGTATTTTTAGTACAGACGGGGTTTCAACATGTTGGCCAGACTGGTCTCAAACTCCTGACCTCAGGTGATCTGCCCACCTTAGCCTCCCAAAGTGCTGGGATTACAGGCATGAGCCACCGCACCCAGCCCAGAGTGCAAATCTTGATATGCACTTTGTGAGTGGCACCATCACATACATTATGGGTGAGATCTCCATTCTACAAAAGCCTACAAACGTGCGTCGAATCAGTATTTGTCAGGGGCTAAGGAACACAAGAAAAGGGTAAATACATTTCTGCTTTCTTCACTAGGTGTAAGCCAGCCCACAGTAAAGCTATAAAACAAGCTAGGCTTGTCGTTGGTGTTCCTTCTTTGCCTCCTAGTTCTTGACCAAGGTCCCAGGGTCCCAATGCAATTGTGATCACCCCGATGCCAGCACTCCACCTAGATGGCCACCTCTACCAGAGTGCTTGAAACATATTATTCCCTATCTTTAATCAAAACAGCACTCCCAATTACAGCTAATCTCAATTAGGCTTTCAAATAAGAAAATAGATGAAAAAAAAAAACACAGAATAATGCGTAATAATAAATGAATATCTAACCCTCCCAGAGATTTTTGCATCATTAAAAGAAGACTGCTTACTGGAGTAATGGAATCTCTAACTGATGAAACTCCAGATACCATTTAAAGGGGAGAAAAACGTTCAACATTTTTTGAAGATGAGAAAGATGTCTGCAAACTGAATAACACTCTGGAGGCCAATTCTCCCAAGTGGTTCCTGGACCTTTCCCCATTTCTTAACTGACTTATTTTATTTTATTATTTTTTTTAATCATTCTACATCTTTTCTTAGAATCTTCTAGGGTAACAAAAATGAAGTTTCATGCAGGAGGCCAGCAGACTGTTTTCAAGTTCTAAAGTTAAGTCTTTAATTCAGAAATGGAATCATGGTCATTGACTCTTATGGTGGTCATTTTCTACAGGAAAGCCTCAGTCTATGACTTTGCACCTTTCACATGGCCACTCCTCCACTGCTGAATCTTGGGCCAATAGCTCACTCATGCTAAAATTCAGTTTCCTCATTTGAAAAATGAGGATTTTGGAAGAGCTGGAGTTCGGATCATTTTTCATAGTCCTTTTACTGCTAACATTCTGTAAGTCAAAATTCATTCTTTAAGGCAATGTTTCTCAGAGGAGCACTGGTAATCCCACCAGCTTTGCTAAATTTCAAAAGGTAACAGGCATTTTTCTCAAGATTTGTTCTGGGAATATATAGAGACATTAAAATACCATTAGGCCTTCCATTCTAAAAATAGGGCCTAAGAAAAATGTCTACAGTGTTTCCAAATAGTTCTCTTAAGAGGTGTAACCAACTGAGACCCATAAGCTTTAAATTGCTGGACCAGGATATATGTGAAATAGTGATGGGGTATTAATAACTAGCAACACTTTCAAACAGTGAGCAAAATGAGGAGTCATTTGTTCTTGCATTGCATAAAATTCAACTGCCTATGGAAGGGTGAAACATTTTGCTTTTCATCACATAGAACAGTGTGGTGAGATAGGCCACACTATTTTGGAGTATGTGTCCATATCCAAGCAACAAACAGATTGATGACTTTAAAACAGTGCTCTGCACAGGGAAGGAGTCCACTTTAGCTATCTAAAAACTATTTTAGAAAGGATGCTTATTTTAAATTGATGTCTGAAGTGCATTTGGTGTTGTGCAAAAGTATCTAGTACATTTCAACTAAAGTTAAAGCAGAAAGCTCTTATATCTCCTCTATAATTATTTGTTCAAACATTTGATAACTGTATAAATAATAATACTATATAGTGATAGTGAAGTTTTTATGGTGTTTTCACTAGGAAGGGTGTTGTAAAATTATTTATCTACCAAAAACTGTACAGTTTATCTATAAAAATATTAGAGAATTTATCTTCAAATAATTTTGTTATAGTATATATACAAATTAGTATATATATTTTATCTGCAAAAAACAAGTTCTGATAAGGACATAAAGTTTAAATTATGAAATAAGTCAGTCACAAGGCAGGCTTATATGGTTAATGGATTTTCAAGTTTTATAAATCACTTTTCTCTTAACTTTTTATTTTGAACTACTGTTAGACTTACAGAAAGGTTATAAAAATAATACAGAAAGTTTCCATATATCCTTCATCCAGACTCCCCTAAGGTAAACATCTTACATAACTATAGTATAATTATCAGAACCAGGAAATTATCATTGATACAATACCTTTAACTAAACTAAGGACCCTATTTGAATTTTGCCAGGATCTCCATTTAGGATCCTACATTGCATTTAATTGTCACTTTTTACTTTTGGCAAATAAACTAATCTTTAAATACAGTAGGATAACTCAGAATTTAAAACTCTTTTTTCATGAGGGAGAAAAAAAAAAAAAACAGAATCTTTGTGACAGGTGGACTTTAAGATGACCCCAATGATCTCTGCTTCTTGGTATTCATGCCCTGTTTAATCCCCTCCTCTGGCATGTAGGTTGCCTGAGTGATTTGCTCCCAATCAACAGAAGGTAATGGAATGTCAATTTCATCATTAGTCTACATAAGATTATGACTTCTGTCTTGCTAACAGACTCTTTCCCTTACTGGCTTTGATGAAGCAACATGTCATATTGAGGAGACCCACATGGCAAGGACCTGAAGGTTGACTCTGGCTAATAGACAGCTAGGAACTAAGGCCCCCCAACCAAAGCCTTTAAGGAACTGAAATTCTCCCAAGAATCACATGAGCTAAGTTCTTCCAAGAATCACATGAGCTTGGAAGTTGATCCTTCCCAAGTCAAGCCTTCAGATAAGACCCCAACCCTGCCAATATCTTTATTTCA